ACCTTACTCTTTCTACCAATAAAAATTCCAGATTGTATTAGTCTGTTCTCACACTGCTATAAAGAACTACTTGAGATTGGGTAATTTATAAAGAAAAGAGGTTTAATTGACTCATAGTTCCACAGGCTTAACAGGAAGCATGACTAGAAGGCCTCAGGAAACTTACAATCATGGCAGAAGGTCAAGGGAAGGGTGCACATATTTACAATGGCAGAGCAGGAGAGAGAGAGACAGCAAAGGGGGAGATGCCACACACTTTTACACAACCGGATCTCATGAGAACTCACTCACTAGCACGAGAACAGTAAGGGGGAAGTCTGTCCCATGATTTAATCACCTCCCACCAGGCCCCTCCCCTGACATGTGGGGATTACAATTCAAGATGAGTTTTGGGCAGGGACACAGAACCAAACCATATCACAGATGAAGTTTTACAGGTAAAACACAAAGAAACACAAACCTTAGAGCAACAGAATAAACCCATATATATGTATGTGTACATATGTGTGTGTGCACACATACACATATACATGTACTCATGTAAAAATTTTGTAGCACCCAAGGGTGTAAAGTAAAAAATAAATATCCCCTTCTTCACCCAACCTTCCTTTTCTACTCCCTGGGAGAAAACAAGTTATCAGTTTCTTGCATGTCCTTCCAGAGATACTCTGTATATATTTAAGCATATATGTGCATACTTTTATTAAAAGACATTCTATTGGATGGAAAAGATTATTCCATTCACTGTTTGGTAAAATATTAATATCTTGAACATCTTTCCACTTAGTACATATTGTTATACCAACTCATTATTACTGATTGCCTAGTATCTCACTGTATAGAGGCACCATATTTATTTAAACACTTTCCTAAATTGCTTTTCTCATATGGCAATGTTTCATGGTCTTCCCCTATAGCCCATATGGATCTCATTATGGGAGATATCTCTACTTTATTTTCCCCTATTGCATAGTATTCCACTCTAGGAATATACCACAATGTATTAATCCATTGACAGGTTGTTTCTAACTTTTCTCTATTACAAACAATAGTTTCTAGTACATGTCCTCTTATGAGAATTTCTCTAAGACAGCAGTTCTCAAACAGTCAAAGGATGACCCTGGCTATTGTGTTGAGAATAGACATGGCGTCAGGGATCAAGAACAAAAGCAGTGACCGTGGCAGGCCATCGCAAATAGTCCAGATAAGTGACTGAGTGGCTTTTACTAGAGAGTGGTGGCAAGGATGGTGGTGACAAGTGGTTGGAATGGGGCACATTTTGGAGGTAAGGTAGCATGACTTCTTGACCCTTAGGTGTAGAGTGTGAGCAGAAAAGAGACATCAATGAAGATTCCAAGGTTGGGGGCCTAAACATCCAAGAAAATAAAGTTACCAATTACCAAGATATGGGACACTGGGAGATGAGCACCTTTGGGGACAGGATCAATGTCACAAAATTTGTTTTGGACATATTAAGGTTGAGTGCCCATCAGACTTCCCAGTGAGATGTCAAGAAACTAAGAAAGAAGGAAAAGATCCAGGGACAGACATTGACAAAAAGCAGCCAGTGAGACAGGAGGAAATCAAGGAAGCACAGAGTCCCAGTTTCCAGGGAAAGGAAGTGATCTAATTTCTTAAATGCTGCTGACAGGTAAAATATGAGAAGACGTACAGCACACTACAGGAATTGGCAAAGTGGAGTTCACTGTACAGCGCACTACAGGAATCGGCAAAGTAGAGTTCACCGATATGGGCTAAAGCCTGACTGGTGTAGGTTCAAGGGAACATGGAAGAAGAAGAATTAGACACAGTGATTAGAATTACAACTCTTTGGAGAGTTTTGCTTTAAAAGGGAACAGGAGGCTCGGTGAAGTGGCTCACACCTGTAATCCCAGCACTTTGGGAGGCTAAGGTGGGCGGATCACGAGGTCAGGAGTTCAAGACCAGCCTGACCAACACGGTGAAACCCTTTCTCTACGAAAAATACAAAAATTAGCCATGCGTGGCGGCACATGGCTGTAGTTCCAGTTACTTGGGAGACTGAGGCAGGAGAATCGTTTGAACCTGGGAAGCGGAGATTGCAGTGAGCTGAGATCATACCACTTCACACCAGCCTGGGCGACAGAGCGAGACTCTGTCTCAAAAAAAAAAAATTTTAAAAAAAGGAACAGGAAAAAAGGGACAGTAGCTTGAAGGGATGTGGAATCAAGTGAGGATGCTAAGATCACAACATTCTTGTAGGCTGCTGGGAGATCCCAAGTCGAGAGGAGGAAAGTGCAGGGAAGAAAGGCACTAAGGATTCAATTGAAGATTGACGTCCTTGAGTATGTGAGAGGAGCTGGGGACCCAGTGCACAGGCTGTATGGCTGGCCTTAGGTAGGAGCACAGGACTTTGTCCTTCATAGCAATGGGAAAACAAAATACACGAGCATAAACTCAGGAAAGGGGTTAGATGTAGCGCTGGGAATGTGTAGAATTTCTCTACTAACTGTTTATTTTCATGGTGCATTAGGAAGTTAGGATCAGCTGAGACCGACTGGCTAGGTGATGAAGGGCAGTCATGCAAGGGATGAATGCGAAGTTTTGCCTGCGACGAAGGACAGATGGTCACAGCTGTGCCATAAAAGACAACTGAATTGGCAAGTGAAGACCATCATGTCCCCTGGCAAGGCAAGCTGGTAAGCTGCCCTAGCAAACCAAAAACCAAGGAAGTGTAAGGCCAGCTGGGCAGTGTGGTTCTGGGGAGGGCCCCTTTACTGAGCAAATCCTGTAAACACTGGCTGAGAGCCGGCACTAGGCTAGGATGGTGAGGTGGGATTGTGGGGGAGACAGGCCACCCCTTCTTCGACTGTTTAATCTACAGAGATATATTTTTCTGCAAGAATAAACCTGATTTTTATAATTGAAATAATTGGAGGGGAAAAGATGATATCCTCAGGTATCTGGTGAGACCAGGTAAAAGAGGGAAGCGAAGTTGGGAGAACTGAAGAATGAATTTGCAGGAAAATGGGAGGCACAATTTTTACAGCTTGGAACAGACATGCACTTTCCTCGTTAGGCTCAACTCTCCTTTTTACTTGAGTTATGCAGAGCTAGCTGCCACACACTGTGCTACCAGGTGACTGGGTGGACTTTGACAAGTCCCTTTACGTGTAAAGCACGTCCTGGAAGAGGTGCTTTCTGAGGCCCCAGCCCACAGCCCAGTGATTCTGCCACGGGACCTATTTTCCCTGAGCAATAATGGGAGAAGTTGGTTTTTAAAATAGACATAAAGAAAATCCATCCCAAATATTAACTGTTTTATAATGACCTCTTAAGTCATTCTGTCCCTTTCCTCTTTTATGGTTCCAAGTAAATCCAAGAAAGTCATCATTAAATAAGCCCTAATTATAAAAGACGTGCTAAGACTTAGTGTGCTTGGCCGCCTCAGCTCCTTAGCCGGCAGTAATAAAACAATGAACCCCAGCAGGACTCCGTTCCAAATCATATTCTGCAGTTATTGTTTTGACTCCTTTCTTTCATAATTGCAAACAGAATCCCACTGAGCTCACACACTTTCAAAACGACTGTTTCCCCACACTGCAGAAAGTCGTGCGGCATTTTCTAAGAGCCGCTGTTGTTTTCCCATGGCACATTTATATCTCAAACCTACATTACCTAATGCTTGCTGCACGTTATGATTTTAATTTGCTTCTTATTAATGCCCTGCCTTAATGAAGTTTTAGAAAATACAGTTTTATGTCAAACTTTTTGCTACCTTTTTTTTTTTTCCGTCTTTGATTATCTCTTTGTTCCACTGGACACAAAGCAGTACTTGGCAATAATCAATTCTAGGCAACCACATCAAAGAAGCTGTATTAGCATTTTCTGTTAAGGTCTCATTACTAAATAGTTGGTAAAGGCAATAATATTGTTTTTGTTTTCTTGTTCTGGCCTTACAAATATTCTTATTTGCCCATGTATTCTTGTATAGTTCAATGATGTTTAATCACACAGTGCTAAAAATTAAGTGATTCTAAGTTTTTTCTGCTGTTGGAAGAAACTGGTATGTGATTGCACAAATCATTCTGTATATTGTAAGCTGGGATAAATCTTGAAGTGCTTTTCTTCATGACTGTAGGTCTATCTATCTTTAAAGCTTAGTATGAATTCTTCATATATCTGTGCACGAATAACTCAAACAACAAAGAAACATATTGGTTTCTATAACAGAAAATTCACAGGTGGTTGAACTCAGATAAGGTCTGATCCAGAAAACAATGTTATGTAGGAGAAAAATATTAGAGAGAGGACGAGGACATTCATTAATACAAATACTAGGCTAGTTTTTGAGATTTTGTGATTTCTAAATAATAATTGTCAGCATTTTTTTGGCTGCGGGTGGGCATGTGTCCACATGTGTGCATCTGAATTGGTGTGCAGGTTCTGTGTGCCTCTACTTTCGTGTTGTGTTCTTTTTTAAAATTTTAACATTATGTATTTTTTTTAATGAATGAATTTTTTTTTTTTTTGAGACAGGGTCTCCCTCTGTTGCCCAGGCCGGAATGCCATGGCGCCATCAAAGCTCACTGGAGCCTTAATCTCCCTGGGCTCAGGCGATCCTCCCACCTCAACCTCCCGAGTAGGTGGGACCACAAGCGCATGCCACCACGCCCAACTCTTTATTTGTAGTTTTTGTAGAGATGGGGTTTTGCCATGTTGGCCAGGCTGGTCTCAAACTCCTGGGTTCAAGTGATTTGCCCACCTCGGCTTCCCAAAGTACTGGGATTACAGGCATTAGTGATACTCCTTTCCCTATTCATTTTTTTTTTCATTTACATATTTTTATTTGGAAATGTTTATATCAGCACAAGGAAATAATTTTGGAGACACTGGATGTCATTAGTTATTATAAAAGAGAACTATGGAAATTATTTACATGATGAAAGATTTCAGAACTTCAGTGGAACTGGGCAGCCTTCCACTGTCTGAGCCAATTTCAATCATGTGGATGGTTAATCTCAGTCTAGGTACTTTCCAAGAATGTCACCATCTCTAAATAGGAAATAATCCTTGTCATCTAGAACTACTTTGGTGCCTCCATACTCTGGCAGAAGAACTTTATCTCCAACTTTCATGTTAACCGGTTGAATCTCTCCACCCTTTTCTTTAGAACCCGATCCAACAGCGACTACTGTTGCTTGCAATACTTTTCCTTGAGATTTTTCTGGAAGCATAATGCCTCCTTTGGTTACAGTTTCAGCAGCACTCCTTTCAACCAACACTCGGTCAAAGAGTGGAAGAAACTTTCTAAACGCTTGTCCTGCCATGACTCCCTCCGCCTCAGACTCGTACTCTGCTCTAGTGTAGCGCCGCAAGGAGAGACTCGCGGTGCAGCCCTGGCGACACGTGAAAAACCCGCCCAGCGCGCAGGCGCGCTCGCCCCAACCCCCGCCGCTAGCCCCTCGCCCCTCCCCGCGAGAAAGGGCGGTCGCCCCGACGCGCGCCGCGATTCGCCCCCAGGGCCCTGCGCAGGCCGCTGACGCGAAGACTCGGAGGCGGAAGAAAAGAGGAGCTGTTTCTAGACTTTTCTAGGCGCCCAGCCGAGGTGAAAGAACTACCCCCTCCCCCTATTAATTTTTTAAGTTGACAAAAGATAACTGCATATATTTATCGTGTACATGTTGTTTCGAAATATGTACATATGGCTGGGCGTGGTGGCTCAGGCCCGTAATCCCAGCACTTTGGGAGGCTGAGGCAGGCAGATTGCCTAAGCTCGGAGTTTGAGACCACGCTGGACAACATGGTGAAACCCCGTCTCTACTAAAATGCAAAAAAATTCGCTGGGCTTGGTGGCACGGGCCTGTAGTCCCAGCTATTCGGGAGGCTAAGGCAAGAGAATTGCTTGAGTCCCAGAGGCGGAGGTTGCAGTGAGCCGAGATCGCGCCATTGCACTCCAGCCTGGGCTACAGAGTAAGACTCCGTCTAAAAAAAAAAAAAAAAAAAGAAAAAGAAAAAAGAAATATGTGCATATTGTGGAATGGCTGAATTGAGCTAATTAACATATGCATTATTTCACATATGTATTTGTCGGCTTTTTAAAATGTGTAAAATATTGTGATTTCTTTTCTTATTCTAAATGACTTTGTGTTTATAATTTTTAATCTTCTAAAATGGTTCCCCCAAGTTATATAAATTTTAAGTCTCACAAAACCTGGATCTGCCTCTGCTGAGCAAAGGGTAAGGTTGCTCCCAGAGGAAAAGATCTTGTGCACACTCAGGAGAAAGGATACCTAATGGCAAAAACAGGGCATGACCAGTAAAGTTTTAATCTTTTCTGAACTTTCTTTGCTTTGAATTCTGCCTCTATGAGGCTGATAAATGTTTTCATTGGCAATGAAGATATTTTATGGCAGGGATTATGTGTTAAACCTCTCTGGTTGTGCACCCAGTAATCAGCGAACTAACTTGTGTGGAAGAACATATTGCTGTATTAACACTTCTTTCCAGTAGTGATTCCAAAGTGATTGTACAGTCGTCCCTTGGTATACCCATGGGATTGGTTCCAGGACCTCTCCGCCTCACCCGCCCCCTCACCTATATACCAAATCCATGCATGCTTAAGGCAAGTCCCACAGTCAGCCGTGCCGAACTCGCACATAGGAGAACTCAGCTGTCTGTACAAGTGGGTTTCATATCCCTTGAGTACTGTATTTTCAATCCACATTTGGTTGAAAAAAATCCACGTATAGGTGGATCTGTGCCGTTCAGACCTGTGTTGTTCAAGGGTCAACTGTACTTTTTTTTACTTGAACACATAAAATTTTCATGGAGGAGTCCAAATTCCATAAAGGAGTTACATCGTAAACTCAAAAGGCTCTGTAGAGAAAGATTATTACAATAGCAAAACATGTTTGCAGAACAAAACAATGACTCAAGTCTTGGACGTGGACCCACTTATTTCAAATAACCATCCATTGGCTGTGTCTCTAGTATTTGTTGAACAGAACTTCAGCTACAGTAAGAAATCTTGCCTGATGAAAGATTATGATTAAGAATTACTGAATGTAACTCAGTGTTTTCTAACATCCTTGAGGAGCATATATTTGTTTTAAAGGTAAATCTGGAAAATGAGTTTTAGGAAAAAGTTAATGTGCATTTACTTGGGAGGTAAATAGTTAAATTAGACTCTTTTCCTTGGCCTTTCCAAGGAGGTTTGGGTTTCATGTTGAGTTTTGTTGTAAACTGAAATTCATTTGCAGTGAGAAAGCGTGTTGAGAATGGATTTTGTCAGGTTTGTCCAGAGACTGTTGTCATTGGTCTGGAGAGGGAAGGATCTTACTCCCGTGGAATCTTTGGCTTCTTCCAGAATGTCCTCATTTGGCAATTCTGGGTGAAACACGTTGGTACATTTTTAAGTAACTGTAGTTTGACGTCTTGGAGTTTGTTGGGAACAAATCCAAATAAACCGGCATCTGCCTTCTGTTTGCCTTGTTCATGCTTTGCTGTTGGCCAAATCACCTCTCTCAGCAGAGTGTCCTCTTTTTTTTTTTTTTTTTTTAACAGTGTCCCCTGGTAAAAACCAGGGGGTTGTTTCCGAATGAACTCCGAGGTCCAGTTAGCTGCAACATTCTCTTATTCTAGGATTCTATTTTCAGGAACACAGATACTTTCAGACACATGTTAAAAGGCTTGGTTAACATTGGAAATAGTTCCTCAAAACTTAGAGGTTAAAGTACTGTACTGTTAAAGAAGTTAAAGTACTGATTTTAAACTTTTCTAGACATTTTCTGGGAACAAGTAGTGTTTTTAAGATTTCCTAGACGGAAGAGACCTTTTTTCCCTACCAGCAGTCTGTCCATCTTTTCAGACAATCATTTTGGATTAAGGATATTTATGTAAGTGGTTAGTATGCTTCAGAATGCCTAGGGTTTATTAAACACAGGTGTATGCGTTGTCATATATTATGAACATCTTTCCACCTTAATAAATATGCAACTAGGCCATCATTTTTACTTTCATTTTAAAATTATATATTATTGGCCAAGCGCAGTGCCTCACGCCCATCATCTCAGCACTTTGGGAGGCCGAGGCCAGTGGTTCACTTGAGACTAGGAGTTCAAGACCAGCCTGGCCAACATGGTGAAACTCTGTCTCTACTAAAAGTACAAAAATCAGCTAGCTGCGGTGGCACATGCCTGTAGTTCTAGCTACTCAGGAGGCTGAGGCATGAGAATTGCTTGAACCTGGGAGGCAGATGCTGCAGTGAGCCAAGATTGCACCACTGCACTCCAGTCTGGGCAACAGAGACTCTGTCTCAAAAAAAAAAGAGAAAGAAAAAATTATATATTATTTATTACAGAAGTAATAACATCCTAGTATGAAAACCTCAGATGATTCAAGACTGTATATTCCCCTATGCCAAAATATAAATTTCAACAGCTGCATAGTACTTTCTTATATAGAAAACACCATAATTTACTTAACCAGTCCCCTGTGAACATTTGGCCCTTAAGTTGCTTCCTTTTTGCTTTTCTTATAAATAATGCTATACTGAAAATATTGTACATAGACAATTGTGCATTTCTCTGATTATTTCCTTATTTTAATACCCTTGTGATTATAAGGGTAATATACTGTATACAGTATTTAGTTATAGAAAATATAAAAATAATAAAAATACTTTTATCTGAGGCAATTAGGACCAGTAGATAGTCTATTAACTGAAAAAGTTGGTAAAGCAAAGAATCATAAGAAAAGAAATTTTATGAAAGATCCAGATGACTTCAATGCTATTTGAATTGTTTCAGAGCATAAAAAGAGAAAATACCCAAGTTATTTTATATGAAGCCAACATAGCATTAAAAACAGTGTGCAACAATGATTGCACAGGAAAATTCTAGACTAATCTCATTTATGAATATCAATACAACAATCCAACATAAAATATTAGCAACCAGACTTCAGCAGCACATGAAAAGGATAATAAATTAACAATTAGAGTTTATTACAGGAATGCAATGACCATTCTTTTTTTTTTCTGAGATGGAGTCTTGCTCTTGTTGCCCAGGTTGGAGTACGATGGCACAATCTCAGCTCGCTGCAACCTCTGCCTCCTGGGTTCAAGCAATTCTCCTGCCTCAGCCTCCCGAGTAGCTGAGAGTACAGGCACCCACCACCACGCCTGGCTATTTTTTTGTATTTTTGGTAGAGATGGGGGTTTCACTATGTTGGCTAGTCTGGTCTCAAACTCCTGACCTCATGATACACCCACCTGAACCTCCCAAAGTGCTGGGATTACAGATGTGAGCCACTGTGCCCAGCCAATGACCATTCTTTATTTTGAACTCTTTTATTATGACATGAGAACATTAATATTATCTTTTCAATAGGTACTGAGAAGGCATTTGATACAATCCAGTATTCATTCCTGGTGAAGATTTCATAAACCAGCAATAGATGGATACTTTCGGCATGAGTAAATATCTCTATCTTGGTCTAAAACCTAGCACTGAGCATAATGGAGAATGGAGGAACACCATATGTTTCCATTAAAGTCAGAAACAAGGCAAAGGTGTCCAGGCACACTGCAATTATTTAACATTATTCTGCAGGTACTAGCTAATTCAATTAGATACAAGAAACTAGGCATCAACTGAAAAAAGAGGAGGTGGCCAGGCATGGTGGTTCATGCCTGTAATCTTAGCACTAGTTGAGGTGGGTGTATCACTTGAGCCCAGGAGTTCAAGACCAGCTTGAGCAACATGGCAAAACCCATCTCTACTAAACATACGAAAACTGAGATGGGAGGATCACCTGAGCCTGGGGAGATGGAGGCTACAGTAAGCCATGATCCTGCCACTGCACTCCAGAGAGACACCGTCTCAAAAAAAAAAATAATAATAATAATAACATAACCATCATTTGCAGATGATATCATGATATATCTGGAAAATTTAAAAAGAGTCATTTGAAAAATTATGTCAGACAATATGGGAAGTAATTTGGCTTGGTAAAAATAAATAAATACAGAGAAATAGTCTTTTTTTTTTGACAGTCTCACTCTGCCACCCAGGCTGGAGTGCGGTGGTGTGATCTTGGCTCACTGCAACCTCTGCCTCCCAGGTTCAAGCAATTCTTATGCCTCAACTTCGCAAATAGCTGGGATTACAGACAAGTGCCACCACACCTGGCTAATTTTTGTATTTTTAGTAGACATCAGGTTTCACCATGTTGGCCAGGCTGGTCTCAAACTCCCGGCCTCAAGTGATTTGCCTGCCTTGGCGTCACAAGTTGCTGAGATTACAGGCGTGAACCACCACACCCAGCCCAGAAATAGCCTTTTAAGTATAAAAACAATAATCAATGAGAAGATGTAATAGAAGATCCTACCTACATTGTAGCTGAAAAAGTAGATTAAGCTTAAAAGAAATATAGAAGTTCC